TATGTAGGAGCACATGTTCACATCCTTCCAAGACTAAACTTATTTAGAACTTTGTTTTGTGTTTACGCTTACCGTTAGATCTAAATCCAATCTCTTGCTTGGCCTAAATAGTCTACGACGCGACTCCGCCTTTTGAGCTGCCATTCCTTTCCGTTTATCGGACGGTCGCATGTTGATCAGTTTGAGGGCGTCATACAGCAAACCACTTTTAATCTCAAGATCAATCTTTTCATCTGTACCAAAGCTTGGCGCTCTATTAATCTAAAAAAAAAGCAACAACAAAAATTAAATATTCCTATTTAAAATGCATTCCTGCTTCTTCTAGTAATAAGACACAAAAATTCAGCAATAATATTCCCATTGAAAATACTTTTAATTAATTCTTAATAAATTTCACTTGCTTAAAACTATATTTGAGATTGCTGTTAGGATAGAATAAATATTTAAAAAATTTTAAAGAATCAATATAAACAACCACATATGACAATAACAACTACTGTAGGAACTATGATCAATAGAACTAGAACCCAGTTAGTCAGCTAATTCCTGGTAAATCTGAGCTCAATTGGGTCATTTGGAAAATCTGACCATGATCTTAGGTGTCACAATCTCTATCTATATCAGTACGCACAAGGTGAACGTGCTCATTTATCCATTGGCTTAGCTCAAAGGACAAGACTGTGACATGTTATTTGTGACAGAAGTAGACATTAATTTTGGAGTTTTGACTATGCGCTCTTTTACCCCAAGCAGTGAACACCATATGTTGGGAGGAGTCAACAGTTTGATTGAAATCGGCCCAACCAGTTCCCACTTATAGAGCATTTTGAATGTTGCCAGAAAAAGATAAGAATGAACCCTTAATGACTTTTGACCCAAAAATCCCTGATCACCTTAAAGACTCTGCCTTATGCCAATGCATATGTGCAAGGGCTAAAAATTACCCCTTAATGACCTTTAACCCAAAATTTCTGAACACCGTAACCAAAATTATCACCAGTGTGATATTTGACCCCAAGTGGTAAACACCCCATGTATAGAAGGTTTCCACAGTTATACTAACCAAGTTTGATTTAAATCGGCCCAACCGTTTGTCACAGTAGTGTTTTGAAATGTTGCCAGAAGGAAATGCTAAAACGAAACCCAGTCTGCCTGCGCATCAGACTGGGCAATTCTAGTAAAAAATAATAACAATCAAACAACTAATAATATAACTTAGCAATTACATTTTAAGCCATTTTAATAATAAGAAAAAAATGTTTTTGTTTTTTTATGTATTCTAACCTGGTAAAAAAAAGGTTAAAATCTAAACAAAAATAAATAACACAATAAAATAACAATCAATAAAAACAGATTAAAATAACAATCTGTAAAAACATATACAATCATTAAAATAATAACATAAAAAAAACTTAGATCAAAACAAATAATAACAATGATCTTTGATGTTCATAATAATAATAAACAAGGTGTCAATAATTACTCATCTATAGGAAGGAAGACGAGTCATTTTTTTATCTCACCTCTAATAACCACGGTTTGAGTGACTTATCAAGAAATATATCAAATCCAAGGACTTCGAAGCACACACTATCATTGCCTGATGTTCCAGGCCTACACATCCTGTATGCATGCAGGACATGTGGTTCGGCTACAACCAATGTCTTGTTTATCACATCCTGAAGTGTCAAAAAAAAAGCTTGTCTACATCCTTATGTACTGTGTTACTAGGTCACTGGGTTTTTTGACTTACTTGTGTTGCTTTTCAATAAATGTGGCAAAGAGAAATCAGCATTTAAAGTTTACGATATCGGCCATTTCTAAGGCAGAGATCATCACCAAATCATCGAAAATGGGGAGGGGGGAAAACATCATAGCATGATGTACAGCTATATAAAGTAGGGCAATAAAATTGAAAACTTTGAAAGTTCAATCTTCAAAAATAATATAATGTTATATCAACCAAGAAAGAAAATTTTTTAAAAACCAATAAATTAACATAAAACTTCCTTTAAAGCAAAAAATACCAATCATACTCAGATAAGATGAATTCTAATTAGAGCCATCCATGCTTGGTCAGGCAGCTACTATACAGTAGGAATACAACAGCTTTACTTCTTGTTCATTGAGGGCGCTATTCGGATAAATAAAATCTAGTGTGGTAAATTAATTCGGGTTAGTTATGAAAAGAATAACACTTAAGAAAGTATACTCCAAATATTGAAATGCACACCATCGTGTTAGGATTCAATATTTCAAGTTTAATTATGTCGTCATCAGGAATAACACTTGTTTTTACTACTAATGTTCAAGTTTGCGTAAATAACTTAAAATGAATACACCACAGTAAGTGCAGATAATTTTGGCTTCTGTACAGCATTATTTTGTTGCAGAAAACAGTAAAATCCGAGTCATATTTTGTGACAAAATTCTGCTCCCACGGCAATGCGTAGGCCTACCTATAACTATGCAGCTTATGCATAGGCCGACCCTCGCCACTCAGATGCTATGAAAATTCAAACTTTCAGAATTACAAGTTTTCTCAATTAGGAACTCTGTTCGGATGGAGGGGTACATAATTGTGAAATGTTACTGTATGATCAAATAATAAAAGATAACATGGAGGATGCAAAGCAGGAGAGAAGACAGACAGGCGAAATCAGAGTGTTAGATGGCAATGATGATGATGTTGGTGGTATCATTAGGCCGACCAGCCCCCCTTAAACTAACGTTAGAATACCGCACTTTCGGCGGTAAAGAACAATTGAAACCTCATAAAAAAAGGCAACTAATCCTTTTACCCATAATTGAATCCAAGGACACCAGTGTTAAACACTCAGTCAGACCTTGATTTAAAAGGCGCGCGATCGCGCCGGTGCTCCTTCGCGCTCCTCAAAATGATGCGAGGAGAGCAGTCAATAGCACTCCTGAATTTTCCTAGGGGGCGACAAAAAATACAGTTTCATTACATAGCAGGCAGCGTGTACGTCGTGTGTACTGAACTGTGAATCGATGCACTCTCTCTGCGCACAGCTACCAAAGGCAGCGGCAGGCATTGATGGATAATAACCACATGTTCACTGTTTGTGTACCGACGATGTAAAGTGTACTAAGGATACTAACAATTTTGACGTGAAATAAATGGTAGGAAATTACCACGAAACAAACTTACTATTTATTAACATACTAAAATATTTATTATACTATTACGTAAAATACATGGTACGAAAGAACCGCAAGAATTAAGTCAGGGCTAATTAAATGAATTTATGCTCGCACTGACCATGGAGGTATTATTGAGAATAATACCGCCATGCACTGACTGTGTGTGCAGGAGAGGAATCGACCGCCGCCGGTGAGCGACATGTACAAACACATGATTGGCTGTGTAAGGTAAGTTTTGTATGCAGCCTGCCGACCACCACAGTTTATTTTAAGTAAGTATGTTTGTTTTATTTTTTCAGTACATTTACTTATTTAAATTTTAAAAAATTACTAAGCAGACAATTTTTTCACTAGTATTGGCGAATTATTCCCGCAATCAATTTTTCTGAGCTTTTGATGGGCTGCATATTTTTTCGCTTCACTTAGAAACAGTGCACAGCCAATCACAGAGCAACAACAAACAGTAATAACTTGGGCCAAAGTAATCATTGCCTGATGTTCCAGGCCTACACATCCTGTATGCATGCAGGACATGTGGTTCGGCTACAACCAATGTCTTGTTTATCACATCCTGAAGTGTCAAAAAAAAGCTTGTCTACATCCTTATGAACTGTGTTACTAGGTCACTGGGTTTTTTGACTTACTTGTGTTGCTTTTCAATAAATGTGGCAAAGAGAAATCAGCATTTAAAGTTTACGATATCGGCCATTTCTAAGGCAGAGATCATCACCAAATCATCGAAAATGGGGAGGGGGGGAAACAACATAGCATGATGTACAGCTATATAAAGTAGGGCAATAAAATTGAAAACTTTGAAAGTTCAATCTTCAAAAATAATATAATGTTATATCAACCAAGAAAGAAAATTTTTAAACCAATAAATTAACATAAAACTTCCTTTAAAGCAAAAAATACCAATCATATTCAGATAAGATGAATTCTAATTAGAGCCATCCATGCTTGGTCACGCAGCTACTATACAGTAGGAATACAGAACCTTTACTTCTTGGTCATTGAGGGCGCTATTCGGATGAATAAATCTAGTGTGCTAAACTAATTTGGGTTTAGTTATGAAAAGAATAACACTTAAAAATGTATACACTGGAGTATTGAAATGCACACCATCGTGTTAGGATTCAATTCAAATTTAATTATGTCACCATCAGGAATAACACTTGTTTTTACTATTAATGTTCAAGTTTTCGTAAATAACTTAAAATGAATACACCACAGTAAGATAATTTTGGCTTCTGCACAGCATTATTTTGTTGCAGAAAACAGTCATATTTTGTGACAAAATTTTGCTCCCATGGCAATGCGTAGGCCTATCCCTATGCAGCTTATGCATAGGCCTACCCTCGCCACTCAGATGCTATGAAAATTCAAACTTTCAAAATTACAAGTTTTTTCAATTAGGAACTCTGTTCGGATGGAGGGGTACATAATTGTGAAATGTTACTGTATGATCGAATAATAAAAGATAACTTGGAGGATGCAAAGCAGGAGAGAAGACAGACGGGCAAAATCAGAGTGATGGCAATGATGATGATGTCGGTGGTATCATTAGGCCGACCAGCCCTCCTTAAACTAACGTTAGAATACCGCACTTTCGGCGGTAAAGAACAATTAACAACAAAACCCATAATTGAATCCGAGGACACTCAGTACTTATTCTTGATAATGTGTTTAATCCAATTAATATAGTGAGATAACGTAACGTTAGTTTATCGAGGGCGGGTTGAGCTAATGAAAAACAAATAAAATTTAATAAGTATAATCTCAAATCTACTATTGTTAGTGTTCATTAATGCACTGTATGTCACAAGCTTAAAAATTTGAAAGATTCAATTCTTAATTCGTATATTTACATATAAAGTTATTAACTTCCAATTCAAAATGTGAATGTGAAAAAATTCCTTGTCAATGAATGAACAGTTAAATGCCCTTTGCTGTATTCTTTTGCTTAGACCCTTACCGTCAATGGCTGGTAATTAATTTAAGGATTTTGGTAGAAAAAACATTTGAAAATTAGCAATATTTATTGCGATTAGTTTCTGGTTGGAATTCAAAAAATAATATATTATTTTAAATAATAAACTAAAAAGTTTAACTCACAGCAATATTCTTCCAGATGGCAGCAACATCATAATCATTCCTTTTTAGGTATTCATTGAAGTACTGAATTGACCTCTTGCTACCTTTGGTCACATCTTCATCACGTTCAAAGTTCTCACTTCTTTTGTTTATGGAGTAGTTGGTCAAGTGCATGTACAATTGGTCCTGTAATATAAATTATAAATTAGTTTAATATCAACATACAATTGAAATTACTAATTCCAAAGTATTGATGTGACAAATACTAGGAAAGAATGTAAATACAACAAGCTACGTGGCTGAGAGTTGGTGAGTGCTACAAGCAATACATTTTTTTCTTTTAATTGTTTTATTGAAATCACCTAAAAGGCCCAAAACCCACTTGTAGGTAAGGATTTATTATGGCATGAAATGCTTGCACCTTGCATGAAACCACTAAACCAAACACCTTCCCCTAGAACATGTTTTTTTCTTTTTCAGATTACTATGCTAAGACATCATCTTTGCTAACAACCCAAGAAGATGTCTTAGCAAAAGACACAGCATTATCCAAATCGTGACCCCTCTAATTTCGACACCCCTTTAATTTATTTTTTTTTTTCAAAGAACCAAATAACAATCATTTCTTTTATCACAAGCCTGCAAGTGGAAACCAAACCCTGAGGCCACATTAAATTTTCAGGTCCTAAAACAGTCTTAAATTGGAGGGTGAACAGTAATCCAAAAATCATAATCATTGTGCTTTGTTGTTTTTTTTTTTTATAATTTTAAATGCATCATTATTACTGGCATTTTTTCAGGAGTGAGAGGATAACACAACATTGTTTTTTGTACTTATGGAAACAATGACAAAACTCCCATGCAACAAGTATTATGAATGTTTCAAATAAAACATTCCCACATTTAGTAAATAAACATGATTTCTAATACCTACATACACATCATGATAATACATAACAAAATTTCTTTATGTAAACTACAATTTCCCCAATATATCTTCTCAGCCAATATACCTATGGTTTCATAAACAATGTTCCTATAACAATAAGTTATACTAAGTTATACATACTAAAAATAAATTGAAACAATAATAGCATCACAAAATTCCAACATACCACATTGGTATCCGACGGTGCTGAATATTTTTCCGTGCTTAATCTCACAAGCCCATCATTAAAAAGAAACACTCGCAAGGGGTCACATGAGGTCATCAAAACATATATGCGCAAGTCAAATTTGAATCCTTCCAAAAGAAATGGCTTATCTAGATATTCTTGAACAATAGTGTGATCTTGCTGTTGGATTCGCTCTCCATTCCGGAACAAAGAAATACTATTTTGGAAAACAAGAAAAAATTTGTTGCAAACATTAATATTTTAGATGCTTTTCAACACACAGTAGTACAAAATAACATACAATTTTATATGATAATCAAATAACAACAGTTATTAGTAAATTTAATAGATTATTTAAAACAAAATAAATGTCATTAAAAATAAAATAAACAGTAAAAATATCAGAAAATACACAAATCAATCGTGATGTAGGTAGTCTATGAGTGAGGTACTTACCTGGATAACCTTCCCTCCCTTCCTACCCTCGCCGTGATCGTGTCGATCTTTAGGGAATGAGGACGTTTGTTAGGGAGACAGTTCACACGAGGCGTCTTGGGTCGGCCTGTTCCATTTTTTTTCGAAGTGGTATTCCGTTTTGGGAACAATGGCAATTAGTCAGTTATCCAGGTAATTATTCCCGAAATAGACGATGTATATTAAACACTTTTCCAAGTATCAATGAGCAAATTCATCATCAATTATCATTAGATTCATAGACTGGCGAACATACCAGCATACAATGCTTAAACTTCTTTACATTCCTAATTGATGCCAGTATTTAATAACAGTTACTTAGTATCATATTAATCTAATACCAAAAAATAAATTTGAATCCACCATGATGTCACAGAGTATATGATGTGAAATCTTAGAAAATTGAATTTAAAACAGGAAGAATAAAATAAGTAGAGAAAAAGTTATGTTTTTTTAGGTAGGTAAGTAGGTAGATAGATAGAAGAATAACCCGTAACTTGCAGCATCATTGTATTGAATTGTGTATGGGCGTGGTCTGTGACTACCTAAACATTTTTTTATAACTGTATCATTAAAAACTATTAAAATAATTGTAAACATCTGAACCATCCCTACCCTTGTCCCATAGAACCATTTGAGGGCTTCACAATAAATGTCCGTTTCTTATTCTTGCGCTTTAATTCACGCACATAGGTTTGAAAGGAACTGTACTCTGCTGGGAAGATCCATGTCTTTGGTGAAAAGTTGTACTCATCTGGATGTACCTTCATCATCCTAAAAACATTACAATCATAACTACAATATATTTCTACAAACACTGAAGCAAATAAAAGCTTCGCCTATAACAGCAATATGTATGTGATGAACAGCAGTGATCTTACCATTTACAGGTTTGATATGACATCATCATGCCAGGTATAGATGTGATATGACATCATCACACCCATTCATAGGCAATTCACTCAAATTTTAACATAAATCTTGATACTTTCATAATTTCATAATTTTATTTCACTCACAATGCAATGAGTCTGGTAGGCAAAAAAGGGAACATGTCCCTATACAAGATGCCTACCAGAGACTTTGTGGACAGGGTTTAAGATATTTGTCTGTCAGACTTAAGAGACAATTCTGATCAGACTCAATGACATTGTCAACTATCACAACATTGAAAGACATGATTGTTTGATTGAACATTCAGTCCATCATCAGTATACCAAAAGTATAGTAGGAATTTTCAAAAACAAACAAAATTTTGGCAAGATTTTTTTCTATACTTCATGTTCCAAACTTGCCGCTTGTAGCTAAAACTAATTTTGAAGTAAAATAAAATTAACATTTTATTGTTGGCCTGTAAGCCTGAGGAGGAGTACTATATAGATGAAAGTGTGTGTGTTCAAAAATGTATTTTTTCTATATGTCTGTTTTTATTTATCAATTTGCCAACCAGAATTCAAGCTTTAAAGGCACGATACCATAGAGAACCTATAATGCGATTTGCAATAACTCACTTTGCTAGGTTCCTTGCGAGACAGTCCTTCCGACAGATCTCCCCCATAGCAGGAAAGTGATTAACTCGCTAGAAGGACAAACATAAGCATTTATGTTTTCACATCCACTTATAATTATTCCTTGTCCTTGTGCAGGGATATAAAAATTCAACTAATATTATTCCTGACATGAATATTAATTATTTATTTGATACAAAATATAAACCAGTATTCACGTTTAATTTAACTGGGGAAAAAATAAATTGAGATTAGCATAGCTCAGTCGGTTAAATTGGCGCAGGGTCGTGAAGGCTTTTGGTCCCCGGATCAATTCAAATTGCTGCTCTCCTTGTTTGTAGTCAGTATTTCAGCTGGAGGGGCAGAATTCAAGTGTCAATAGGGCACTTGGTCCCATGTAAAGTACGGCCACTGGGTACACTGAAGAACAGAGTACGGTCTTCAGAAAAGAGTAGGGATGGTCTACTGCCAAATTCACCACTAGAAGGACCCCAACAGAAATAAGCCTTTGAATTTCACAGGATATCCTTGGTGAGTATTCAATGTATTGGTTACCATTAAATTTCATGCACTATATTCCAAGCATTTGATTGGCATGTCATGTAGCCAGAGTGGTCCAATTATTTTTGCCACTCCATCATGCACTATGGAAGCAATTATCTCAAAATGCACACTCGGAAAAATAACAAATATTTATGACTACCTACTTCAAATAATATTAATGTGTTCCATAAACTGTTCAAATATTATAGCTCTCTGTGACCTCTACAAAGATTGAAGTAGCGCACTATACTATAGATATTTTTAAACAATAAAAATATGATAATTAATTTGACCTCTGACCTGGTATGGCTTCAATTCAGCTATTCTCTCATTAGATACTGCTGTATCATTCCAGAACAAGAAACTGTGGTGAGAAAATACATTTGCTTTCAATTACTGGATTAACTTACTATTTTTTACGTTTCTGTAAGTTTCAATATCAACGCTGAAGAGACAAGCCACTGGCGAGCAATATAGACATGTGCAAGTTAGGGAATATACACGCTTCAGCAAGAAGCAGGGGATCGTCTCATGGACTACTGCTGGCCAATTCACCACCGAAGACCCCAAAATAAAAAATAAGTCTTTCAAATTTTTCGTTTTTCATCATTGGTGTATTTATGTGTTTCACACCGCAAAAATCCAATTTATAAATCCAAATTGAATTAAAATTAAGACTGAAAGGATGTCTCAAGTTCACCTTCCCTTTTTGTTGGAAGCCACTGCTTGACTTTCTTTTGATTATTTTCATTTTAAAACTCATAATTTTTTTTTTTTTTCGTTTTTTGTTAATGTACATTTAAAGGTCCTTTTGACATTATGGGCTATACAAATCCAGAATATTTATGATACTATTACGCACAAGAGATGGTGTAACATCTCAAAATTTTAACTAGGCATCACCTTGAACAGTAAGTTCTGGAAAATTTACAACAATTGTGCCATGGGTGGCAACCAGGGAAAAAGTGTGCAACTGCATGACCAGCGGTCGGAGGCATCATAAATTTTCTAGAGGCATTTTTGGGGGAATGAAATAAAAAAATAAACTGTTGGTCTATATACTGTAGTGTACAGATTACATTTGGTGCTGGTGGCATTTTATTGAGACAACTTTTATGGTCGGATGCTAAAAAACTTTTTTCCAGCCAGCCTGGTTGCAACTATGAATGATTTAGGTATTAGTTGAAGCTATACTCTTAAACTTACCATGCAGGATCATCATCTGCACTAGTTAAATTGCCAAATTCTTCTGCAACTTTTCGTACTGAAAGATAATAAATTCAGTGCCAAACATTATACTTAAGCCGATAATTTAATAAGTGGGTTGTTCGCATTCAAACTCCTTTTTTTTGGGGGGGGGAAGAGGGTGGGGTCAAAGTGAACACATGGTTAGTTTCACTAAAATAAGCCAAATCCAAACAGGACAGTCTAGATTTGGTATTACAGAAAAAGAAGCTGACGCCTGAAATATGTTAAATATACATGCTTCATTTATAGAGGAAAAGAGCCAATCATTTTATTAGAAACAGAAATTTTGGCACCAACACACTGTGTAATTTTACACTACTATTGATTGGATACTGAATGATTACCTGAAGGTCACATGACAATTACAGTACAATCATTGGCCTGCTAAATTAATCTAAATTAAGTATAAATAATTTAAATAATTAATAACTACTTACCAATTTCATATTTAGAAGCTGAGACATTTAATGATATGAGTGATTTACGTTTCTTTGTTTTTTTCCTTGTTTGAGGCTGTTTTATATTTTGAAATTTGCTGCTATCGTCATACTCATCACCTCCACCTGCCTCCATCTGCTCAGCTCCTTGACTACCTGAATTTACATATTCAGCTAAAAGCAAAAAAAAATTTTAAATTCAACAAGAGGTAAATTTTACAAAGTGGCAAGAAAGTGCTAAATGTTATATCAAGCCGTTGCTATTAAACCAACTATGCGGCCTTGCCTGAAACTTACTAATCAATAGAATAGGAATAAGCATCAAATTAAACAAGTAAATATTAGACTAAATGACAGGGACGGTGGTATGTGTACACTACAACAATGTGTATTTTGACTCAAGGTAAATAGTATTAACAATGCTTCAATACAATGTATAATATACTGTAGCTTCAAATCAAATTGTATTAGAAAATTAATAACATAATTCACACTTTGTGTAGATATTTAAAAGAAAAGTAATGCATGTAAAAATAACTTTGATTAGATAGTTAAAATAATGCATGGTACAGAATGACATTTCAAAACTTGAAAGATTTTTTTTCTAATTTCAGTGAGAGAGAGACTTTAAATAATATAAATAATATCTATCTTTAACACAACAAATTTATTGACAAAAAAGGATCAAAGTTTAGAGTCCATCATGGATGCATTGTCAAGTCCAAGTGAACAAAACAAAAAACAAAAAACAAAAACAACTATGATAGAAAACAAAGAGTACTGTAGGTGACAGGAAATAAGATTAAACAGCCACACGTATAACACCTAAATAATGTTAACAATTGTACAGTATCATCTATCCCTACATTTATCCAGATGAAGGGCTCCACCTTGCTCACCACAACCACCAGATGTTGAAGGCATCTTAACGTTCACTCAACAACTAATGTTTGTTCTGTCGTCATCTTCGTCTGTTTGAACTTGTATGAAGTATTGGGAATTGATTATAAATAGGTTTGCATAAACAGTACTGTACTGAATTATCACACACATAAACACAATCTATGAAGAGAGATAACAGAACAAGAAAAACTGTTATGAATATATTTTCATACTAAAATTCAATTGCTAATGTTGACAGTATTGTACAGACGACAGTAACATATCAAATATTCTTTGCTCCTTCATGCTACAAAATGATCACCATGGCAACTACAAATAACGCAATTGGTGAATCTTTTTAATTTGATGACTGGAAGGTGTGCATTATCATGGTACACCTTGAAATAAGGAGTTGCAATGGACCCCTCTGTGGAACATTACACAATGATTCAGCTGGAAAATCTAACACTGAAGAGAAGTAAGTTATAGGCATAGCTGAGCCTTTTACTTGGCAGAATAGACCTTTCCAAAATGTCAATCAAACTTAAAAACTGACCGAGCAGAAAAGTGCCACGAATAAAGGTGTTTTTGTCCCACAAATGCATGTGATGTTCATGTATGTTATAACACTGTAAAACCAAGTATACAAAAGAATGGGTGTTCATTTCAATGACATAATGGAAATATTGACAACTCATGATACAATGAATGACCTCCCGTTTATACTATTTACAGGTATTTATTATTAAAAAGCATGGAAGAGTGTGTGAATGTGTGAGTATGTGTGTTTCTGAACTTTTGACACCCACTTTGCTTCTGGGAGATCTGGTTAAATGAGCTTTCTTTGCATCTGATTTTAGTTTACTGTGCACGGTGATATCCATCAGCACTCACTTTCCGTGAGACAATTGATAATAAAGTAGTAAAAACTTGCAAATATTATGATTTTGTGGAAAACTTGATATATTCCAGGAGATTCTTGCTTGCTTGCGGGAAGCCATCATGATTTCTAGGAGACTCCTGCGACTTGGGAAGACTTGGGACCCCCTGAAGTACATTACTTGAGTTCAACCATTTACCTTGAGAAATGATAGCCAGACAAACACCACTCAAACAAAGGCCTCTATTATCCTAAGTAGATCTACTGGCAACTCCCATTGATAGTCTAATACAGCGGGACAAAAGATTTAAGAAATACCCAAAGTAATCAATGAATTCATTGTCAAATATTAACTTCAAAAGAAAAGGATATTAACCAAGGCAAAGAGGGGATTGAGACTGTTAACTTGAAGGCGTATTAGGCCTCATTATAATGTGTAAAATCTAGTACCTCCGGGTATAAAACAAAAAGTATGATCAATATGCTATACAACTGCAGTCGTAGCCAACTGGGTTTTCGTGTATACAAGTATTTCTGAGCATCGGTTGAATGAAAAGAATGCAATTAAACTGACAGTAACAACTGTTGTTCAGTATGTGAACGGTTCAGATGTACTGCACCGACACAGTAGACTACCTCTTGACTTGTTAATTACCTCCCTCAAAGGAGGATGTACTCATTGTTGACTGTCTGTACAGCAAGATTATGCAAAAACTAATGAATGGATCACCATAAATTTTAGTCGAATGGTACATAATATTCGAAGAAAGATAATAACATTTTCGGAAGAAAAGGTGAAAACAAGGTCACAAAAATGTGATTTTTTTTTTTTATCCCGAGCATAAAAGAAAGTAATGGAATGACATAGTGAAAAATAATGGAATCATCCCTGTTTCTTTATTTCGGTAATGGCTCCTATAACTTTTTCTGATGTTTAAGAAGTTGTATCATTATTATTATAATATTATTTGGTTATTTATATAGTAGCGCCTTTCTTTGCAGATACGAAGTGCTTCTGTCCCAGGTCATTGGATCCACATGCTTAAGTGTGCTGTAATCAGGACAGGAGCAAGCAACCCCACCATTGTACCCATTTATACTCCTGGGTGGAGAGAGAAGCAATGCAGATAAAGTGGCTTACTCAAGGACAAAAGCGAAATGCACAGAAAGGGATTATTTGCATTTGCATTTTTTTTTTTTTTTTACAGAAACAGAAATGTCACTAGGGAGGCGTAGGCCAAAGACATCTTGGTTTGAGACACATTTCTTTTTATGGTTTGTTTGATTTTCTGTTTGTTTGTTTTGCTTGTTTGTTTGTTGTTTATTTATTTTTTGTTTGCTTGTTTTTTTTGTCTGCAATATTGTCGAGCGCATAGAGACCTTGCTTATTTCTGCTATATAAATCAATCTTTAATTACTTTTATATATTTTGATTGCAAGTTTTTATTAATGCTTAAATTAAATGGATATAGGACTAGGCCTACCTGTAAATGAAATATGTATAATAGTCAGTAGGATAGTTTGTATGTCAGTCATACGTTTGTTATCTTGTCTGTACATTGCCATTTTTAACAAAATGTTTTTAATGTTTATTATTATATATAAATAAATAAAAATAAATTTAATGATGAATGAATATAGGCTAAGCCTACCCTAGGCCTAAATAAATATATAGGCCTAGGCCTAGCCTAGATAGGCCCTGGCTGCGCCTACAGGCCTATATTTTTAATAGAATTAAACTAAAAATAAAAAATATAGATGGGATATCCTATTTATTTATTCAGATTCGGACAAAAATGCCTCAACAAAGTCAAAGTCGCCATGATAATGGGCCACTATGGCCTAGGCTAGACCCTATCTAAGAAGCCAAGCCTAGGCCTACTACTACTAGGCCTAGGCCTTTAAATACCCGGCCTAGCAAGGAAGTAAGTACCAGCCTACTTCACTGCTCCAGCATTGGCAGGATGAGCTGCATGCGGATTCCGGCCCTCTCACCTGCTGCAAGACAAGAGTGCCTGTCTGCTACTGCTGGGTAGACACTGTGGTTATTCTAGGCCCAGTCATCGTACTACTCAAGGCCTACGACTACGTTCATTAATTGATCCAAATAATTTATCGATTTCTATTTTCCCTTTTCTATCCCAAAACAGCAGCATCTGAAATGTCACGTGATCCACTTCGCTCACTGTGCACCGAGTTAGTAGTTACCACTGGTTACCACCACCCCGCCGCCGCTGCTGATTCAAAAATGTAGATGGCGCTATGATAGGTTTTCTTTAGCATCAGCTTTCTTAAATTAAAATTTAATTCTCATGGCAATAACAAGGATTTAGTCCAGGGCCGCAAAACGTTGTAATTAAATGGATATATTCGTTAAGAAGTCATAGTTTAAGGGCCGAGACCAATATTTTGTATGAATAATTTTCATTGCATTTATTTATTTATTGATGGAGATGAAAGCAAAGTTTCAGTGATAAGCCTAGAATAAAATGCAACTAGAAGACGAATGTAATTAAAATTGTGCATAAATCTATTCACACAAAACTAAATATATACACATTTCATTATTTTTATCTTTTATTTTCTTATTTATTTATGTATTTATTGGCCAAGGCAAAAGGTCTGTGTGATTACCTATTTACATTTTTGATTGTAATAATGTTAAGTTTTTTGTTATGCCTATATTAGGCCTATATGTCTTTAATAATTTGAAATATGTGCTAATTGGTATTTTAAAATTTTGTGTATATTTTTACTTGTTTAGATGCCTGTAAGTGGCGATCGCTTTTCTTTATTGGTTTTTCTGGAATAAATACATAAATAAATCACTAAAGAAAAACGATTAGCCCTCCATAAACTAACGTTAGAATACCGCACTTTCGGCGGTAAAGAACAATTAAAACCTCATAAAAAAGGCAACTAATCCGTTTAACACTCTTACTTATCCTTGATAATGTGTTCATCCAATTAATATAGTGAGATAACGTAACGTTAGTTTATCCATAGAGAAAATATTTTCTCTATGGTTTATCGATGGCGGGTTGAGATAATGGCCTGCACGGAAGCTGATCGTAGGACGAGTGTGCTTGGCCTTGACGCCTGCTAATACCGCCAAGAATCGGGTTATTTTTTAATAATTCTACGTTTCTCTTTCAATTCCCCCCCCCCCCAACACTCTCTTTCTTTCGTGGCGTTACCCCCATCTTTATTAAAAATAATCTTCGTAAAAATCAAAGCAGTACAATATTTCTTTCTATTCAATTCTTTTTCTTCTCTCTAAGTTACCTTTTCTATTTATACCTGTCCGGTTTATAAAAACATTTTTGTATTTTTATATATTTATATAATTTTATAAAAATGGACACAATAATATGAGATAGTAGATAAAATAAACACTAAACAAGGAAAAATACTAGTAAAAACAAGTAATTTAATAATGGCGATATGGTTTATGATAAGTATATGTTAATTTTTATTTGTTTTCTTTTTCGAGATGAAGTTACCATCTTTACATCAATAGGCCTATACATTACAATATTAAATTGTAAATGTTTATCATATAATATACATTACACATTATATCATATTAACATATTTTATTAAATATAATCTTCATAAAATCAAAGTAATACGATGTTTTCTTCTTCTTCTTTTTCTTTTTTTTTTTTCCATAGGCCTATTCCAAATACGTTTTTTATTTCATTACCCTTTTGGGGGGTTAATTTGTCTTTATTGTGAATGATATTGACAACGTTCAACTTTAACGTTTATTCAACATAGACCTACATTTTTTTTTTTTGCTCTCTTTAGTGGGATTTCACTCACTTTTATTTCTCTGTTACTTTTCTAATTGTTATCATTGGTTTTATAATATTTTCTCAAAGTGTAAACAAAAAAACCAAAACATATAGTCATTTAAAAAAATGTGGGAAAAAGATGTTACACACAACATAAGTCAATCCACCTCTGATGTTTTAAACATAGGCCTATTAATCAATTTGATAATTCAGTATAAAATATTATTAATGATATATTGTGAACAGCATAGCATAAATATTCAACAGCACAATATAAGTGACCAAAAGTTATCTCTCTTTATTCATTATAATATTTTTGTTTTTATAAAAAAAAAAAGAGATATTATATTTTTTCCAAAAAAAAAAAATAAATATACAGTTTTACTTTTTGCTTAATGAATAAATTGAAGGAACCATCCTTTAATTGAAGGAACACACTTTGTATAGTCGATTCCTTGTTTTTAATAAATGAAATACATTTTGATTACAATAATAATAATGATATGTTAATGGCATTATTTAGTTTTTGATATTGTTTAGAATAATTTATTTTACACGACATGCCCGTCCGTAACGAGGGTATGGGTGTTTGGCCAAATCCCCTTTCGACCAGTTTACTGCCTGTCTCTTATACACATCTAGATGTGTATAAGAGACAGACTATGGCCTAGGCTAGGCCCTATCTAAGAAGCCAAGCCTAGGCCTACTACTACTAGGCCTAGGCCTTTAAATACCCGGCCTAGCAAGGAAGTAAGGACCAGCCTACTTCACTGCTCCAGCATTGGCAGGATGAGCTGCATGCGGATTCCCCTCTCACCTGCTGCAAGGCAAGAGTGCCTGTCTGCTACTGCTGGGTAGACACCGTGGTTATTCTAGGCCCATTCATCGTACTACTCAAGGCCTAGGCCCTACGACTACGTTCATTAATTGATCCAAATAATTTATCGATTTCTATTTTCCCTTTTCTATCCCAAAACCTAGATGTGTATAAGAGACAGCCTTGGGTTTTCCTAGAATCAGAAGAAATAAATATAAATGAGAGGTCGTTTGCGTTAATCTAGAGAAGAGGTTTATATACAAACAGGCCTAGCCTATGAACCCGATATGAAAACTGTTCGAAAGTGCGCTTTATAGAGAAAAAATATATAGGCCTATACATTGGCCACATTCTTCGCCTTTTACTCCTCCTACTCATCATCATCCTCCTCATCATCACTGTTATCATCATACAAAAAAAAAACTTCACCCAGCAACCACAGAAACGTTTGCGTACATTCTGAACTTTGTGGTTAGGTTACGTGAAGAAATTACGGTTTAGCAACACTAGTCACGCTATTTACGTTTTAAATTACTACAAAGGATCGTTTTGAACACCAAACTGTCACGTTATTATAACGTTAGTCTTTGCGGGACCAAACACATATACGAGATATAAGGTAACATAGGCGTACAAGTTAAATAGGCCTACCACGAAAAATCAAATGTGTCCTCGTGGCAATAGGCCTATCAGGTAAAGAAAAACAAAATTAAAAATAGCTAATTAAAAATAGGCTAACTCAAGATTGTATACATTATGAACAATATAAATATTTACGTTTACACTAAATTATAGTTGAAAGTAACAATCAATAATTATAGTTAAAAAGTTTAAAATTCTCATGTGTTTTAATAAGTCAGAGACAAACGAGACTTGCGCCAAACTGTAATTACACTGTATAATAAAGCACGGTAAGTTTTAGCAATGTTTAACAAAATAATGTAGACCCTTGAATTGTGCATTCTGGAAAAGAGATATCCTGTTCTGATTCTTGATGGTACTCTCACCATGGAGGAATTAGTTTAGCTCTCACTTAGGTCCGATAAGTGAGAGCAGCTTAGCTCCTGTCTCTTATACACATCTAGATGTGTATAAGAGACAGATCATCATCATCATTATTATTATTATTATTATTAACATTTAACATTTTTTCCAACCTTGTTAGGATCAATAAGTATTTATGATCATATACTACGCAACCACATTTACAGTGAAATTAACTGTCTCTTATACACATCTAGATGTGTATAAGAGACAGGGCTAAGCCTACCCTAGGCCTAAATAAATATATAGGCCTAGGCCTAGCCTAGATAGGCCCTGGCTGCGCCTACAGGCCTATATTTTTAATAGAATTAAACTAAAAATAAAAAATATAGATGGGATATCCTATTTATTTATTCAGATTCGGACAAAAATGCCTCAACAAAGTCAAAGTCGCCATGATAATGGGCCACTATGGCCTAGGCTAGGCCCTATCTAAGAAGCCAAGCCTAGGCCTACTACTACTAGGCCTAGGCCTTTAAATACCCGGCCTAGCAAGGAAGTAAGGACCAGCCTACTTCACTGCTCCAGCATTGGCAGGATGAGCTGCATGCGGATTCCCCTCTCACCTGCTGCAAGGCAAGAGTGCCTGTCTGCTACTGCTGGGTAGACACCGTGGTTATTCTAGGCCCATTCATCGTACTACTCAAGGCCTAGGCCCTACGACTACGTTCATTAATTGATCCAAATAATTTATCGATTTCTATTTTCCCTTTTCTATCCCAAAACAGCAGCATCTGAAATGTCACGTGATCCACTTCGCTCACCGAGTTAGTAGTTACCACTGGTTACCACCACCCCGCCGCCGCCGCTGCTGATTCAAAAATGTAGATGGCGCTATGGTAGGTTTTCTTTAGCATCAGCTTTCTTAAATTAAAATATAATTCTCATGGTAATAACAAGGACTCTTTAGTCCAGGGCCGCAAAACGTTGTAATTAAATGGATATATTCGTTAAGAAGCCATAATTTCAGGGCCGAGACCAATATCTTGTATGAATAATTTTCATTGCATTTATTTATTTATTGATGGAGATGAAAGCAAAGTTTCAGTGATAAGCCTAGAATAAAATGCAACTAGAAGAAGAATGTAATTAAATTTGTGCATAAATCTATTAACACAAAAATAAATATATACACACTTTATTATTTTTATCTTTTATTTTCCTATTTATTTATGTATTTATTGGCCAAGGCAAAAGGTTTGTGTGATTACCTATTTACATTTTTTATTGTAATAATGTTAAGTTTTTTGTTATGCCTATATTAGGCCTATATGTTTTTTGACATAATTTGAAATATGTGCTGATTGGTATTTTAAAATTTTGTGTATATTTTTACTTGTTTAGATGCCTGTAAGTGGCGATCGCTTTTCTTTATTGGTTTTTCTGGAATAAATACATAAAGAAATCACTAAAGAAAAACAACCAGCCCTCCATAAACTACGGTAACGTTAGAATACCGCACTTTCGGTGGTAAAGAACAATTAAAACCTCATAAAAAGGCAACTAATCCGTTGATAATGTGTTAATCCAATTAATATAGTGAGATAGCGTAACGTTAGTTTATCGAGGGCGGGTTGAGCTAATGGCCTGCACGGAAGCTGAATGCACTTCGTAGGACGAGTGTGCTTGGCCTTGACGCCTGTTAATACCACCAAGAATCGGGTTATTTTTTAATAGTTCTACGTTTCTCTTTCAATCTCTCCAACCCCCCCACCCCCCCCCCCCCCCCGCACACACACTCTCTTTCTTTCGTGGCGTTACCCCCATCTTTATTCAAAATAATCTTCGTAAAAATCAAAGCAGTACAATATTTCTTTCTATTCAATTCTTTTTTTTTTTTCTCTAAGTTACCTTTTCTATTTGTACCTGTCCGGTTTATAAAAATATTTTTGTATTTTTATATATTTATATAATTTTATAAAAATGGACACAATAATATGAGATAGTAGATAAAATAAACACTAAACAAGGAAAAATACTAGTAAAACAAGTAATTTAATAATGACGATATGGTTTATGATAAGTATATATGTTAATTTTTATTTGTTTTCTTTTTCGAGATGAAGTTACCATCTTTACATCAATAGGCCTATACATTACAATATTAAATTGTAAATGTTTATCATATAATATACATTACACATTATATCATATTAACATATTTTATTAAATATAATCTTCATAAAATCAAAGTAATACGATGTTTTCTTCTTCTTCTTTTTTCTTTTTTTTTTCTTTTTTTTCATAGGCCTATTCCAAATACGTTTTTATTTCATTACCCGTTTGGGGGTTAATTTGTCTTTATTGTGAAGGATATTAACAACGTTCAACTTTAACTTTTATTCAACATAGACCTACATTTTTTTTTTTGCTCTCTTTAGTGGGATTTCACTCACTTTTATTTCTCTGTTACTTTTCTAATTGTTATCATTGGTTTTAAAATATTTTCCCAAGTGTAAACAAAAAAAAAAATTAAAACATATAGTCATTTTAAAAAAAAAAATGTGGGAAAAAGATGTTACACACAACAGAAGTCAATCCACCTCAAATGTTTTAAACATAGGCCTATTAATCAATTTGATAATTCAGTATAAAATATTATTAATGATATATTGTGAACACCATAGCATAAATATTCAACAGCACAATATAAGTGACCAAAAGTTATCTCTCTTTATTCATTTTAATATTTTTGTTTTTATAAAAAAAAAAGAGATATTATATTTTTTCCAAAAAAAAAATAAATATACAGTTTTACTTTTTGCTTAATGAATAAATTGAAGGAACATCATTTAATTGAAGGAACACTCTTTGTATAGTCGATTCCTTCTTTTTAATAAATGAAATACATTTTGATTATAATAATAATAATGATATGTTTAGTTTTTTATATTGTTTAGAATAATTTATTTTACAGGACATGCCCGTCCGTAACGAGGGTATGGGTGTTTGGCCAAATCCCCCTTTGACCAGTTTACTGCCGTGGTCGTATAGTTATCATAACTTTTTTCATTAAAGAAACACTTCTTTTAACCAGTTTATTACCNNTATAAGAGACAGCCCATGAACCTAGTTAAGGGCCTCTATATGGTGTTCAAGTTTTAGATTTTATATTTTTAATACATATAAAGATATTTTTTCAATTGAATTAACATTGTGTACAGTTTCTTTCATCTCAGGTCACAGATATCCAGGTTGCCGATTTGTTGTTGCGGATGTTGATATATATAGGCGAACCTAAATCAATATTTAATACAGTATATCCAAATAATCTTAAATTATAGTGTATTAATGTCGTTCGCCCGGGAGTTCATAGAGGCGAATCTAAATAAATATTGTAATCATATATGTATTATTCCAAAATTACATTGTATGAAAGTCGTTAGCCGAGAAAGGAAAGTAAAATGAGTCAATCAGCAGCAGTTTAAAAAGCAACATAATGTATGAATTGGGCCCATTCGATCGGGGCTGCTTCATCAGGATAGTACTGTTACGCTGCAAGGCCTACGTTGGGTTTGGTGAGTTAGGAAGGGTTGGCGGCGAAGGGATGGGGAATCATTTATGCTAGCCTGCACATTTAGATGGATCAAAATGAAGTTAAGATTTGGTGCTTCAAAAGTGTGCCGTGTGTGTTTCGAATATCGTTAACATGTGCCTTAATGATTGTGTCTTGTTTGGTAGTAAATGTGTCTGATGATTCTAGCTTATATTTAATGGTCTGTCCTGATTTAAAAATTAAAAAAAAGAAAGAACAAGGATTTTAAATAATTTTGAAATAAAAATTAAAAATCCAAAAAAATGTGAAAGAAATATGTTTTAAACCCATTCTTAGGAACCCCTTACGAACCCCTTTTCGTAATGAAGTTTATAATTATAATAATCCACCGGTAATCCAGTTTATTTGACAATCAACTGAGCATACAGTATGTATGATCAAACACGTCAAAATAATAATAGGGAAAATATTCTTCGATAACGGAAGAAGAAATACGGATGACGGTGAGCCACGCTTCTTTCAAATAGGCCTACATATTCACATATTCTGTGACAGGTTTGGTGACAAATGTTTAAAAACAATAATTTGTGTAAGCAGACACACCATAAAATGAAACTGTAACATAGCGTTGCGTGGTATTGACATTTAATCAAACGACGAAAATTGTGAAATACAATATCTTAAAAACGATTTCATAAAATCAAGGTTAATCACTATATTTGTGAAAATATGTGCAGACTGAACGGATCGAGAGGGCCGGTGGGTGGGGGGTGGGGGTAGACCATGGCAGCTTCCCACTCCCCTTAAAGAAAGCCAGAAAGGAAGAAACAAGAAGGACAAAGGTGGAAGTACAGTGCCCCAAAACAAGCTAATTTATACTGTTTATATCAAGCAACACGTCCCCACACCTGCATGTGCTTTGCACGTCGCATGGCCCCTACCCAAATTTTACTAAAAATATAGGCCACCGAAAGCGTCTTTTTTTTTCGAGTGGTAGTAAATTGCCTTTACAGATCTCAGAGAAACAATGTAGGCCAATATAATTGCTAATACAAGATATATATATATATAATAATAATAATAATAATAATAATAATAATAATAATAATAATAAAACAGTAATAATATATTATATTATGAATACTGCAAATTACATATATTTTAAATTCATCTGTTTTATAATAATTTTTATACCATAATAAAGTTTTCATCAACCTAATAAGTTTTCAATATTAAATAATCATTTCATATATATTCACACTGCGTTGTACGACAATGCAAATACTTCTCCGTTTTTTGTGAGCGCTCGGTTCAACGCCGTTTGTTGAATGTCGGTGTTGCAGACTGAGGGGATAGTTAAAAACGATCCATTACGCACACCTCGTCGCGTCGGGTTCTCATAATCGCCTAGGCCTATTCAAACTCCATATTTAGTCCTGAACCTCCAAGCCAAGGAAACCGTTTAAAGTTATTCAAAGTCCATCACTAATCCCGTTTCTTTTAGGAACTTCTTGTGTATTTCATCATATGTCTCACTCTGAGATACGGTAAAAAGTGACTTCCAATCACCAACAATGCCTGATTGATAAGCAAAAGACCTGAATAGTTACTAAAACTACTATTGATTTAGCTGTATAAACACAAATTGGGAATTTGTAACAAATAAAAAATAAACGATATGTGGCTTTCTAACCTATCCAGGTTAAAACCCACATTTAATAAATAATCATTATCATCAATATAAGAAATAAAACTATACAATTTAGAAGCTCTAGATTTTGTCCACACATTATTATCACCATTAAAATCATCACCGTTATTATTATCATCTGTTCAAGAAAATCACTATAATCATTTAACATTTTCGTCATTGCTATAACAATCTTCATCGTCGTCGTCATCACCATCATTATCATCATCATAATCATCATCATCCATTACCATCATCGTCATCGTCGAGATCATCATCATAATCATCATCTTAGTCATCATAATCACAGTCATTTAATCATAGTTATCACCATCACATACACTTTATATCTAGAAGTGGCCTTCGGGCCTTGTTTCGGGTGATAGAAATGAATAAATAAATAAATAAATAAGTCATCATCATCACAATCATATTCATTCATCATCATAATCATCAATCATCGTTATATCGAGATTACCACTAAACAACATTAACCTCACTCATCACAATCAGATATCATCAAGAAAGGAAATTACTGAATAAGATAACATTACCTTTGCGAACAAATTCTCCCACTTTTGTCAGTGTTGCAGCTTCGGTTTTATTGTCCATGACTTCTTTTGTCCGCTTTGCTGATGAGTTTTCGACAGTTTTTTGCAGAACTGCTTCAGATGTAGACAATCCAATAAATGTTGCAAGTTTTCGGATGTTTTCAATCGTATTCTTTAAATAAAAAAAAAATAGAAACACTTTCAAGAAGCTGAAATACAATATATATTACCCTTCAGTAAAGGTATATCCAGTAAAACAAATAAAACAAGTTAGAAGGTATGTATGATGTGGTATTTAAATGAAGGTGTCTTTGAGGGAGACCTGCATATGCAAAATCTATAAGTTTTTCAAAAGGGTATTATATTTAATTGTATATAATATATATAT